TTTTTTTTTTTTTTTTGTGGGGGGGGGGGGGGGAGTGGGATTTGAACCCTTACTATTGGACCAAAGGCAAACCATTTCTAACTTATTGTGGTGATGGTGTTTTGTTTAGACTTCTCGGTGTATGTGCTTTCTGTAAATGTAATCCAGAAAATCTGTTTGTAAAACTTTTTTAAGCAAAAAAAGTAATTTTCTCAAAAAAAATAAATAAAAGAAAAGCAAAAAGCATGTTTAATTATTATTTTGTAAAAGTGATCGAGGTATATTTTTGAATTTAAATAAATATAGTTAATACAAATGCAGCGAACATTGTTATTCATGTGATAAAGGTTTCAAGTGGTGTTAAACATCTCTCCCGAAACTTTACATTAGCAGAATCAAGATTTTCTAATGCTTTATATGTACTTTTATTTTATTTATTATTGTTTTTTGCATGATGTATCATTTCATGAAGGTAATGGAGATGAAAAACATCAAGAACTTGAAACTCATTTTATATTTGCGTAATGGTACTTATAAGTTTTAGATCAATTAAGAGTGTCACTTTTTATAGATACATAATCCACAAACAAAAATATTAAAAAGAAAATGAAAGATGATATATAGCCTATGTATTATAAGTAGTTGCATTAAAGACCAAGATTTTAATCCCTTCTTCGTTAAAAAAGCGGATTAATGTACAAGGCCCTATCTCTCAAAAGTCTAAAAACAGTCAGATGTGCACAATTTTATCCTTGAATATGGGGATGATGTTCATTAAGATTGGTAACTTCTACTTCGAGTGAAGACAATTCGTGAAATTGCACTGGAGTCTCTAAAGAACTTGTGTATTCCCTGCTAGAAGAGTTGCATTCAGAAACCTCCAATGTTTGAACAGTGTTTGGAGTAGTACCTGGAAGTTTTATCTCTGATTTGATATGAAAATATTGTACTAACCCAGCCAACTTGTTCAACATACTCTTATAATCCCAAGTTAAAAGCCTTTCATATGCCTCGCGGTGGTGTTCATATGACTGATGAATTGCAAATAGCAGATAACAAATGGTGGAAGTGAGAGCAGATAATAGGTAGAGACCCCAAAAACTTTACCAGCTCAAGCTATCACCCTTGTCAGGAGTTTGAGAGTTGAAACACTTGGGAGAAGGAATAAACCACGTAGTTTTCAATTGTTCTAACCTACCATTCTCCGATAAGGTTAGAATAGCTTGGGAGAAATCTTCAGCAATTGGAGAGCCTTTTTGAAATACCTGCATGGAGAGCATTAGGAAAATAACATCATCAAATTCAAATCTATTCCAGAGAATAAAAGTCCAATAAGTTCACCACTGACAGAATAAGGAAAAACAATTGCATGCAACATGAGTAGGTTGAACACAGAACCCAGAGTAATGATACATGGATCGTGGCTCAATTTGATACGGGATATGGATGGGTACGTGGTACAATAATTTTTTGGGCGCACGGTGCAATTAGAGTTATCTCAGCTAGTAAACTGTTTTGAGTTGCAATTCATTATGGAACTTTTAGAATAATCAATTTCATTACTATACAATATTATATATGATTATATATCCACCATACGCACCTAGTCTATTATTATTTAGATCATGTTTTTGTAACACCCCAAAATTCACCCTGGAAGGTATTACTACTTATAACCATTCATATCATGAGAACAATTAATAAATCCATAAATAATTAGGGGTTCTTAATTTAACAAAATTTGGGCAGAGTCTCATTTGTTCGGGGAGCTCTACTCAAAACATAACCTGTACAATTATACTACTTTGATCACACCGGGTCCATTTATTCATAAAATATTTTTAACATTATCCAAAAGAATATGCCAAACCATGACATTTACATCTCAAAAGTTAACTAATATAATGTAACAAGATTAACAAAATAAACTAGACTTTACAGTGTACAAAAGAGTATTCTAGTCTAGTACAAGAGAAAAGGGGTCGCTCTATGCGTCCACCTCGGGATCCACACTCCCGTCAATTGGAGCCTCCCACTGGGCGGCCTCCTCGGCTCCTAACTCCTCCTCAAGTATACAATCTGAAAAATATTAGCAGTAGAGGGTGAACACAAAGTTCTGTAAAAAATTTCTCCCAAACTTAAACAAGGTTTAGAAAACATTTAAAATTCGGCCAGTCTATTTTTTTTTTTTCACAAAATATCATATATAACTTTCGAAAGAAAACATGATATTTTAAATAGATCTTAAATTTAAGGAATAACAGTAATTAAAGAATAAATGAACATAATATACAATTAAATAACCATTCCACTATAAATGATTTCTCACACGTTCTTGCGGAATCTCATACTTCTCTAAAATTTTGTAGAAACCATTTTTAGTGCAAAGAACAATTCCCAACACTATAACAATCCCGTGTATTCTAGTGCATCCCCAAGGCCATGTAGGTTGATAGTTTCTTCTGAATTTATCCAACGATTATACCTAGTCCACCCATAATAATCATAAGCACATTTGGAAAGGGGCGTATACCATACCAATGACATTGCCGAATCCCTCCCCAAGAAAGGTATACCATTCCTAGTTCGAACTCTAAGCGTACGATAGCGGTTGTGTTGCCAAACACCAATCCACTACAAGTGTAAGAAACCATCTCCCCCCACCACGGGGTTCGACTGACATTTACACTCTACGGTATATCTCGTAAGTAATTCAAGTCCATCACAAACAACCATACACAAGAGGAAACCAAGAATATCTCCATTCGCAACCATCTCAAAGAAATTACCAAATTCCACCATTTCTTAAGTAATCCATCATAGCATAATTTAAGAAAAATGAACAAGAGATCATTATAAACCTCATTTGTTTATACAAGGTAAAACACTAAAGTTTGGTAATCAAGACAAAAAGGAATTTAAGAGGAAATATCCATTTTTCTTCAAAACTCAGGTTTGATTATGAAAAAGAATGGTTCAATAGTTATCCAACAATTAAAATGTTCGGTATGCTATTTATTGCAAAAATGTCAAGAATCATGTAGTACATAACATATATATATGTGAAGACAAGTGAAAGACATACATATATATATATACAACCCTAGCCTCAATGTATGAGAAATAAGAGAAAAATTCTCACCTTGAATCAAGATCTCCAAGCAAAGCCCAAGCTCTAGAGACCTTGCTCTTCTCTTTTCTTTCTCTCTTAATCTTCCTTTAAGGCTCTAAGAGGTGTGGAATGAAAGGGGAGTGAAAGAAATGAGAGAAAATGGGCTGAATATGAGGTTTTAGATATAGCAGCCCCGAATTTCACTGTTCATGAACTGTTTGGGTCTTCTCCCAAAATTACGATTTTGTCATTAAAATCTCCAATTTGATCCATATGACTATCTTAAGGTTTTTCGACGTTTCGGATTCATTTTTAATGTTATTTTAACCTAAAAATATTTATTTTTATGATTTATTTCAAAACTAAAATAAATTCACACTCGAAACATTAAAATTTCTATTTTATTCATCCGAACCGCTATATGTGCTATTCTTACGGTTTCAATATATATATGATTTATTTTTAAGTCATTACATATATTTAAGAATCACTAAATAAATACATTACTATATTAATATAAACATATGAGGGTTTACACCTTCAAGGTTTAAGAAGAAAGTACAACACTTTACTATCCAAGGAATACTATAGTGCAGAATTTTTGGTCAACTTCGGAGAATAAACTAATTTGACTCCGGTATTTCTAGTATATGTGACCTATATGGTTGAAAAGATATACGAGTTAAGATTCTAACAAAAATAACGGTGCACAATTTGGATTTTCCAACCAAGAGTTATGATCAAATTAGTAAAAGGTAGTCTGCCGGATTGCTTGATTCTTCTATACTTGTCTAACTCGAATTTGAGTATCTTTTGTCACAAATCTTATCTCGTACCCATCTCCAATATAGGTAGGATGGATTTCATAAAGATCCATGTCTAGCATCATTTATTAACCAAAACTAAATTACCCTTCGTCTCCTAGAATCATTCATGATAACATGATGTAGAACTAGTATATTTTGAAAAATCTTTCTTCAATTTCTCTAAGGTAGCTCATTGATGAGAATGCAAATGTCATATTTTTCTCTTTCATTATTTAGCCCTTTATACTTATTATTCTTATAGTTTGATAAAGGATGTAAATAAAGACGTTAAAAGTAGAATGAAACTAATATGATGATTGTTGATAGTATAGACATTTGGAGATTTACAGTTTTTACTATTAGAAATATTATACAATCATATACCCATAATCACATAGTCCATAGATATTTAATCTTCTATTTCTAATAATAGTTCCAAAGCGAATCAATTTGAGTTTAGGGTTATAACTTGGGAAATTTTTTTTTTAGTATCTGGGTCGTGAACATACCCCATTTGGGGCCTTTGCACCAAGATTGTGAATTGTTAGGGTTGAGCAATTTCTGGTAGTTCTAACCTAGAGAATGATGAATACAGTGTCCAAGTCACTGAAAAACTAGAATTTATCCCTCATAAATAAACTTGCAAGTGTAATAATAGGTCATTTAATAATAATAGTGTACTAACATGGTGAAATTGATCCACTTGATACGCTAATACTAACTAATGATCTGTTCATGTGTTTTTCTTTTTTCAATATAAATTCTATCATTTAAACTGCTTGCTATCCTTAGATCCCCAAAACAAACAGGCAAACAATCAAACAAACAAATTAAAATGTGTGAAAAGTGGCAGTTACTACTCACAAAGCCCCAGCCTCCAAATCTATGCTCAACTCCTCCTATGGGTTGGGCAAGCGTGTATCCCTCGCAGTAGTATTTCAAAAAGGCCTTTGCATAAGGGTGTTCAACAAATGCTGCACTGATGTTGCCGCTCTCAAATTCCCCCGGGTAGTCATATTCGCTGCTAATTGCCTTGATGTTCCTAGGATCAAAATTAAGCACATTCTCCGAATACAAACTTATAAACGAATAGCTGCCGCATCCAATTGTTGCATTGCTCTTCTTCAGCCAATCTATGTCGGTTACATTCGGTTGAAGACGTTGGGTGGTGAGCATCGAAGAGAGACTGGCAGTGTAGCTCGAAGATAATGCCAACACAACGAAAAGCCACACCAAGACCACTACACGGGTGTAACTGTTATGAACCCTATCCCCTGTAATGTGAACAAGTATTGTATGAGTATTTCTTATTTATTTTCCTTTTTTCTTCTCTCTCTCTCTCTCTCTTCTTGTTGACAAATTTAGGAGTAATTAGTTTTGGTCTGCTTACAAGTGATATCGTGCAAAAGTCAAGCTTCAAAGAATTTTTTGGGTCAGGCCACTGGTATGAATTGGCACAATAGGTTTTCATAACCAAGATGCTATTAGGCTCATCAGAATGTTATTCTCTATATGTGTAGAATATTACACTTACTCTGTGCAGCGAAGAGTGTGGAGGAAGTGAACCAAAGAGCTGTGCCTAATTGATTCTGCCACCGGCCTTCAAACTCTGGATTTGATTGACGCTCCAAAAGCCAAACTATGAACACAGTGTACATCAAGATGGCACCAGTCACTGCCCACATTTCCTTGGTAAAAGGCTTCATAAAAATCCATGCCTTTCCATGTTGGGGCTTCAGTGTTACTATCATTGATAAGCTTGACTCAGCATATGGTTGCGTAAATTCTACATATTTTGATCGATTTTCCAGTATGGTTACATCACCAATGACAACATCAAAAGTCTTCAATTGATTATGGTGCACAGTTAAAGCATACGATAGAGTGTAAGGAACAAATAATTTTACAAACCAATGCCACAAAATATGTCCATATATTTATGCATGCCCATATTGGTGGATATGTTATAAAAATTGACTCATAAGAATTTTACCCATCAATATATTTAAGCTGAATTCCCATCTCCATCTTATAAATGATTGGAAATGAATTTACGACTGCATTAGTCGATCTATTCTAAGTTTCTTAGTATAACTTAAGCATGCTTGTGTTACATACACTTAAGATATTTGATTAACTAGTAATTTAAAAGACATAATGGGATCGTGGAAGTGGTACTTGGTTATGTTGAGTATAATATGATCGTGTAGGTATTGAGAATACTTTAAGGAATGGTAGATATAATGGGATCATTCATGAGGTATATCTGTTTGTATGTTGTATATAAAATGTATGTGATCATATATACAATATTTTATTTATAAATATGTAATATTAGGGTAATTACAAATATTTCTCTAACTAGTTAACTTATGTCTAATATAGAAAATAAGAACTCTAACATACTTATTACCTTGTTAGCCACATGATCAACCAGATCATCCTAGGTGCCATTATAGGGTATGAATTCATTAGGTAGGGGATAACTTCGCTCCAAAATGTTTAGCACCTCATAGAAGACATCAATGCAGAAACCAGGAAAGCTCAATTCATTTGAACCTCCATTCCAATCCACCTTCACAAACGTCTGAAAAAAAGGTATACCTGGAACTCCAATCTTCATAGGTTTTGCATCAGTAGGCATTGCCCATCCTTTTGGAACTCGCTTTAGGTCCCCTGGCCAATTCACCAAACCAGACAATATTTCCTTGTTATCACTCCTATTTTCAGGTCCACTTTCTTCAATGACAAGTCTTTCTGAGAAACCAAGTGTCGATGACCAGAAGCCAAGCTCTTTGTATCTCTTTCCAACAACATTTACAACTCTAAATATAGAGGGTCCTGCTAGCTCTCCGGCATGGAAACGAATGTCACCACTTAAACCAGTGAAGTTGCTTGATAAAATACTTTTTGAGTAGTGTAGTTGGAACTTTACTGCTATTACCTGTCCTCTTTATGGCATTTGTAGTGGCAGTAATGCTATCATATGCTCGTAATGCATAAATTCCCATCTCAGAGGTATCTTCATCTGGATACTCTGATTGAAAAATTCGCCTAAACTGGTGTTTGAAGTGCAGAAAAGACCTACTGTCTTCAGTAAAATATGTCTTGATTCCTAGAGCACCTGCCATAGAGGATATAACTGAAGTATTAACAGAATCCAGAAAGCTTGCGACGGGGTCAATAATTATCCATGCTGAATCCCTCCCATTAAGTCCCATCTGCTTTGATTCTCTAAACAAACGAACAGACATTGATAATGACAATTGAAGAACTATAAAAACCCTAGATTCTTTGCTCAATTGTTCTGCTACCGCTTCAGTAACAAAGCTTTCTGGGTCATCTAGCGAGGAGAATGGTGGAAGAACTAAACGATATTCAATTGCCACACCAACATCTTGCAGTGAATCAGATAATACAACAAACATTCCAGAATCGCTACCATAGTAGTCAGCCTCAAAGATGGCTATGACTTTTTGCCAATCGAATGATCGAACAATAGCTGTGGTGCATCTAATTTGCTCCTTGACATTGCTAGCCATCTGTACCAAGAAAGGCCATTGCCGAGGCATTAGTGGTGGTATAACGACTGATGCAAATGAAACAATAGGCACTTGAGCCTGGTTTCCGATGTCAGCAACTAAAGCTGTTTCCTCCCATGTTTCCATGCCAACAAGGGCTTGCACGTTTATCTTTTCCATAAGTTATTGAGCTGTACCAAAAATTCTAAGTTAATTAAAATGCTTCAACCACAACTATCAACTAACCAACACTTGCACCATTAATCGAAAGACTTGACAACATCAATACTTGATTTTTTAATATATATATTTTTTTAATGTACAGGGATGTAATAATAATACTATAGATGACTCGCTAATTACAACCAATCTCCACACTATGAGTAGATGAAGGATCACCCAAAGGACCTAGAGAACCCCTATACAGAGGGATAGAAGATGCAGGCGAGAGACCCAATAGCGCCTTCATTTACGAGTCTTTGCTGGATTAAATAAAAGGTGATTATGTTTGCAGATCTCGAATGAGTACAAAAAGGATGATCCAAAACCTCACAAACTTTAAGGTTACCTTTGATGTTATTGAAAAGATACTTTAGTAATAATTTACATATACTAAAGTTAAATCCAATCTATTTCTTTGTGGTTGTTGTTAGTCACTCTTCAACTTTTTACTTGCTTCTGTGACATGCACCAAACATATGTTTTGAAGAAGTTTGCGTTTCTCTAATATTTATCTTCCAAGAATTTTGCATGGGCAATTAGCAATTGATAGAGACGTGAGTGAAGGTCGAGTGTAAATAGGAATGTGAGTTTTGTACATGTGCCAAAGATGATATTGTGATAAAATTTAAACTGTTAACCAAACAGTATCTTAAACCATAGTGGGTTCCATTGAACTGGACATCAAACTGATCTCTCTCTCAATAGAAATAGATACTCAAAAACTTATTTATAACTTTCTTGGAGTTCAGGACCAAATTAAAATGGTCTAGATATATATCCAATTAGGTAAATTGAAACGACACCAGCTCGAACATTTCCTTAAACTATGTAGTCACCCTAACACTTCAATATCAATGCGGCAACTCCCAATTTTTGCTAAGTTGTGACAAAAAGAATCCCAAAACAAATTTAACCCTTCACTCAAACACATCCGCCCACTCGTTCTTGCTCTGTCACGCACACAAACACATAATTATCACACAAACCATGGTAACCCACCAAACTATTGACCCAATGATTTGATAAGTATGATTTTAATGATCACAAACATCCTAATACAGACTAATACTTGCAATTGGACATGGGCCAAAGTTAAAAAAGAAAGAAAATGACAAAAAGCCTAAAGCAAAATCGTAACCCTGAAGAGACGTCCAGAATTCTGGATGTACTTTCCGAAAGACTACTCCGGAAGTCCAATCAAAGAGAAAGGCCAAGGAAAGCAAGGACATCAGGAAGGCCTCCGGGAACTCCGGATGAAGTGTGTATATATATATATATATATATATATATATATATATATATATATATATATATGCTGGTAGGGTCGGGTAAGAAGACAAATTTTTATGGATATTCTGTATTTCTACCCGATTTTATAGAATACCAAAATTTCTTTCGTTGGCCTACCCAATTTTTTGTAATAGCTGATCAGTAAGGTATGATAAAGTCGAGAAGAGTCGAAATATTCTTGTAATTCAAAAAATTTGAATACCCCTACTAAACACCGTCAATCTCCTATTTGTGTCACGTACCAAAAAATAGTCCCTGAGAAATTTTTAAAGTAAAATCTAGGATAAATTTCAGTAACATCCCTTAAATTTAAGTCATATTTTACTAACACCTCTTTTAATTTTTAAAATATCACTGTATATCCTTATAATTTATATACACGTTTCACAAACTACCACTACTTTCTAATGTCATTGATGATAAGCAAAAAATGTGTGATATGATTGTTTATTTTCTTATAAATTACCAAATTTACCCTTAGCTCTATAAAACAAGCTTAAAGTGCTAGAAAACATCCTTTTAGTATTAATTAAATTAAATTAAATGTTAATTGGATTAAATAGAATGTTCCCTATAAAAAAAATGGATCAAACAAAATGTTAATTTGGTGTTAGTTTTAAACAAATAATATTAATTTGATGAAACTAAATATTAAATTCAAAAAATTAAATATTAATTTTATAAAATTGAATGATCATTTGGTATTAATTTGATGAATTTGAATGTTAATTTGAAATTCAATCAAAAAAAATAATGTTAATTTGATAAATTGGATTTTAAATTAATGATATTAAATATTAATTTAGAGTTAATTTGATGAAATTGAATATTAATTTGGTGTTAATTTTATAAACTTGAATATCGATTTGATGAAATTGAATATTAGTTTGCGGAAATAAAATGATAATTTTGTAAAATTTAAAATCAATTTCACATTAATTTGGTAAAATCTTGTATTAATTTGGTGAAATTGAATGTTAACTTTATAAAATTAATAGTTAATTTGGTGTTAATTAGATCAAATTGAATATTAATTTGATGAAGTTTAATGAGATTTTGATAGAATTGAATGTTAATTTGGTGTTAATTTTTTGAAATTAGATATTAATTTAATAAAATTGAATGTTAGTTTGACCAAATTTAATGTTAATTTGGTGCTAATTTGATAAAATTAAATATTAATCAAACAAAATTAAATGTCAATTTGATGTTAATTTGATAAAATTATAGATTAATTTTGTATTAATTTGAGTAAGAGTAATTAAGTAAAATAGGAGTTCTAGCAAGGATAATTTAGTAAAATTACGTATTCTATTAGGTCTCTTAACAGACAAAAACTGGCATGACGTATGAGTGATATTTCAAAAGCTAAAAGGGATGTCAGTAAATTATGACTTAAATATAAGGGGTGTTAATGAAATTTACCCTAAAATCTAACAGCTTTCTTATTGGAGCGGGTACAAATTAAGTGAATGTGAACTTCTACTTCTTAGTAAACAGGCTTATTCTTAGGATTGATTGGGTCATTCGAACAACTGCTTCAAATGGGTCCCTCCCTCCGTTTTTCCTTGAGAAAGACGATCAAATAATTATCAATTATGATGGAAATAATTTTCAAATATCGTACCTTTCTTGCATAATAGGTGATGGGCAAGATCCAAATGGCCCAATTCATATGGAAAGTCCAATTTAATTTAGAGCCCAAGCTTGTAGAAGACCCAACAGGCCCTATGAGGTCTAAGCCAATCAAGCCCATCAAAAAGCTATGCCACTAAGGGAGCATCCACTCTCGTCGCTTGGAGAGAGTCAACCTTCCCTCATCCTATGACTAAGTTCTTTGGAGAGCACTATAACTTTCTTGCCCGTTGAGGGGAGGAAAGGTCGCCGAGGAGAGGAAAGGTTGTTAAGCTATTTAATACTATTAAGTTGTCCCATTATGACCGCCAGTCTAGCTATTCAATCACTGCGTAGACGTCTATAAATTGTAAGCTCTCCCAACACTTGGGGGACATCTCACAAAAATCAAGCTCATCTTTTTTCCCTTGTAATTCTCTGCTTCCCCAACATACCGGAATTAATTAAATTCCCCGGGAACTTTGCCATTGAAAGTGGATGTAAGTCTTGTTGACCGAAACACTATAAATCTTATTTCTTTTCTTTCCCTCTACTTACTGCATTTATATTGCTTAGTTGACAGGTGGTGTGCAAACAAATTTTGTGCATCATCAATAGGTATCAATAACAGGTGATGATGAAATTGATTTGGAGCAACTAGAAGAAGCCACATATGGCATTGTCCTTCAAACAAATGGTCATTCTATGAGATCTTCGACTAACATGTCAAGAGCAGGGGATGGTCGACACAGAATACAAGCATGGTTATTTGCCTTCTCTAAACATATATAGAATATTTATTTGAATATTTTGTTTAACGAATAATATGGTGAGCTTTATTTATGTTTTTGGATCCTTTATTATTTTTCTTTTCTAAAAGATTTTCTCATCCATTATGTTGTGTTTCTATCACAATTTATATTTAGCTTGTATAGAACTGTAAAATAAAGTTCACACTTCTTGCTACAATATTTAGTTTGTCCGCATGGAATTTAGAGTTGAATATACATGTTTGTGTGTACCAGTTAGAAAACATGAGAGTCAGGAGTTAAACTGTGACACCCCAAAGTCCGGGTGTCTGTAATTATCCGATTGGTTATCTATCGACCTGTGTAATACTGGTGGATATCGTGTAATTTGATACCACACCGTTATGCCCCATTTCTTGGGATCCATAACTTAACAAAATTTGGACAGAGTCTCCTTTGTACAAGGAGCTCTACTCAAAACGCAACCTGTACAACATTGACCACACCGGGTCTATCTATCCATTCACAATTGTATAGTCTCGAATACTACCATAATCATTATCAGTACATACATTTATTCGTAAAAGAATAAATGTCCCAAAAGAGTCTCATATACATGCCTTTGTAAATATAAACAATGTTTGTTACAAAAATTATACAAGGCCAAAAGTAAGTATAAACAAGGGACTACAATGTCAAAATAAAAGCCACAGACCGGCTCTGTCGTCAAAGCGGGCCCATGGCCTCGCCTTCGGTGGAAGCCTGTGCGATACCTGAAAAATGTTTCCATAAAGGGTGAGCTAACGCTCAATAGGGTAACTCCTATAGAGAATACCTCTCAACCTAAATGAATATGGAATGTCACATGCAACGATCATTTGATACATTCATTTAAATATGTCTATTATGATTGAATGTTATAGATCATGTCATGCCATGAGATGAGACTCACGCAAGCAATACCAACCCCGAGCCCCATCCTGAGCTCCCATAACACATGCAATGTCATGCGTATGTATCCGAGCATTCCAAGCCCCCATCATTGGTGTTATGTACACTCAATGCTAATTAATTCATTTTCTTGTGTCTTTGTGGGGAGATGATTTATGGTATTACACCAATGGGACACCAACCATCAACGGATCTTCAGGACATCCCACCTGCGGCTCCGTTTCCGCCGTTACACTTTTTTGGAATTTCACCGCCGGAAAGTGTATAAACCAAGTAAGCGGGTCTTGCACCCGAGGGAGAATCTAGCCCTTCGTGCTGTCCCCAACACATTTATCCATTTAATTTCTCGTGCGA